CTCTCTCTCTCTCTCTCTCTCTCTCTCTCTCTCTCTCTCTCTCTCTCTGCCTGCCTGCCTGCCTGCCTGCCTGCCTGCCTGCCTGACCAGTCTCAGGTTTTCTGTAACCCCACAGCTATTACTGTCCCTTGATGCTGCAGAGCATTCTATTTTCCTAATTATTCTTAAATCAATCCAGCTTCAAGCTAGGGATAGTCAAAGAAAGTTAGAATATACAAAAGAGAAAGTAACTGCATACAAAAGGCAAAATGAATGAGTTCCTAGATCAGAGAGTTGGGATCCAAATTTAGAATTGTTTACAGACTAGATCAGTGCCCCCAAGCTCATCTGATTATAAGAATCACATGCTTAATTGTTTAAAATACTAATTCTCAGGACATTTCCCTGCAGAGATGGATTTAACAGATTTATGTGGAACCCTGAAATCTATGGGGTATTTTTAGTGTTTTTTTTTTTTTTTTTTTTTTAAATAGAGTCTTATTATATAGTTCAGGCTAGCCTTGTACTCACTAGATTGCCGAGGCTGGCCTTGAACTTTTGGTGATCCTTCTGTCTTAGTCTTCTAACTACTGGCTTTACAGATATTGAACACCATGCTAGGCAAAACTCTATTTTTAATGATATATATTGCGAAATGATAACTGTGAGATTTTTCAGTGGCACAGTAAAGAGATAGAAAAGATAAAACAGGCCTTTAGGAGAGGATCTGACGGTGAGGGGGATCCTCTGGCCTGAGACAATGAAAGGCTGAGACTTTAGGGACTTTTGCCAAAAGGGTCAGCACCTAGAGAGCTGATTGGGATTTCCCTTATGGAGCAGGAAGAGTGAAAGAAAATTGTATCCAAGATTGTGCTGGGAAAAAAGCATGGTCTCTGGGAAGATAAGCTGTTGTGTCAAGAGTGTTAGCCATGTTAGATGACCATCATAATAATTCATCAATTCATACTAGGGCCAGAACCTATCAATAACAGTTATTGATATATATAATTCCTAAGAAGGCAGAGCACTAATCAAAAGGGAGGGCACTAGGATGAGTTGAAGGATCAACTGACATTAAGAGCACATGGGTCTTTCCAGGCTCCTTTCCTCTTGCCTTGGTGGTGTAATTCTATTGTCTTCTAAGTCTGTGTTTTCTCAAAAGTAATTCTATTGTCTTCTAAGTCTGTGTTTTCTCAAAGAGTATTACCAAAATAGGGTTGTTACTGAATGATAGCATTTAAGAAAATTTTTATTTTTCTTTCACATTTTGGTAATCTGTATTTGATACAATTTTATGTCACAAGACTTAAATAAACAATTTTTCTAAGGAATTTTAAGTATACTTAAAATATCTTTTGAGTGTATTCTTAAATGGCAAGATAAATAGAGCATGTGAAGTTAAGATTTAGGTGTGGATGTAAAGATTTTCTTACATTGTTCTGTTTTATCCTAGATTTTAGATGAAAATGGTAGTGTTCTACCTCCTGGACAAGAAGGAGATATTGGCCTTCAAGTTCTACCTAAGCGACCATTTGGTCTTTTTACTCATTATGTAGTAAGAAACACTGTTAAAATCTCTCATTTTCTATTTATCTCTCCAAAGTGCTTGATAACTACCCCTTTGTCCCCAAATCCATGTAAGTATTTGGCCCTTTCTTAAGAAATGCATTGTCCTAATAGTAATTCTACAGAGAGAGAACTGAAGAATCACCCAAATCCCTGTTTAAGGACACGATGATCCCTCTGAGGCTAGAACACCACCAAGGCAAGAGGAAAGGAGCCTGGAAAGACCCATGTGCTCTTAATGTCAGTTGATCCTTCAACTCGTCCTAGTGCCCTCCCTTTTGATTAGTGCTCTGCCTTCTTAGGAAGAGCAGGAAGAATAGGGAATTACAATACAGTGGAATCAAGTAAATCACTTCCACTAGAGGATTTATAGCTTTGCAAGCACATCTCATTTCCCATCATGTTATATAACATAGAGCACATTTTATGGAAATATAAGGTCTAGGTCCAAGTTCTTGCCCGTCAATTTTACATTTTTCTTTTTATGCCAAAAGTACAGAACTTGCTCTGTGTGGTGGTGCATGCCTGTAATCCCAGACTCGAGAGGGTGAGGCAGGAGGATTGTTGCAAGTTCAATATCAGCCTGGTCTACAAAGTGAGCACAAGGCTAGCCTGAACTGTATAGCCAGATCCTGTCTCAAAAAGACAAAAAAAAAAAAAAAAAAAAAAAAAAAAAACAAAAAACAAAAAACCCCAAAACCACAAACAGAACTAGTTTTGTCTTTATGTAAGATGGAATAAAACTGTAAAACTTGTCTGCTCTTTGTATTAGGTGTCAGTGCCTTCTTTTAACGAAGTATGCATTTACCTCCCTCCCTACCAATATTAATCAACCAGTAAAAGAGTGAAGGAAGCATACTCCTTTGAGCTCTGAGCTCTTGCAACACTGATTTTGTGATCTAAGAAAATTCTCAAGAAGCATGTGACTAATCTTTATGACTGTAGTTTACCTTTCTTATGTTGGGCTAGATCCATGCTGGAATTTCATGCCTACTTCACACTGTCTGCTTTTCATTCTAAACTTCCATACTTTCTTTATCTTAGAACATTTAGGCACCCAACTGAAATGAGAGTCACATTCAAAATAATATTAACAAATGCTCTGTTTTGGTAGAATAATCCTTCAAAAACTGCTTCAACTCAACGAGGCAATTACTACCTCACTGGGGACAGAGGGTATATGGATGAAGATGGATATTTCTGGTTTGTTGCAAGATCAGATGATATCATATTATCCTCTGGGTAATTTTCTTCTTAATCTGTACTTATGTCTTGTCAACCGACCATCAGAATTCTCAAATGAATATCTAACTAACCCTTACAAATGCCTGTCATGTGTTCCCAGTTACAGAATCGGACCATTTGAAGTAGAAAGTGCCCTCATGGAGCACCCTGCAATTGCAGAATCAGCTGTTGTCAGTAGCCCAGACCCCATCAGAGGAGAGGTAAAAGAACTCAGTCATCTCAATTTTATAATTTGTTTGCAGTCTAAAGTATACTGTGAAATAGTACTTCACTGAAATAAATGCACAAATGCTTCCTTCACCAAACATACAAGTCAGATAAACTTTTTTTGTTTGGTACCAGGACTGAACTCAGGGCCTTACACTTGCCAGGCAGGCACTTATGCTGCTGAGCTACCTCCCTGGCTCCAGAAAAACATTTTTTTTACTAAATCCAAGTCAGACAAATATATGCTAGCAAGAAGGAACTGCTACTAAATAAGACTGAAAGGCAAATACTAGAATGAATTTGAATCCCTTTTGTGAAAAGCTGGAGCAAAGATGGGATGGATGCCAACAAGGCAAGCTTATTCCAGGATGGGACTCCAGGAGTCAAGTGGATCAAGTTGTTACCTGCAGGTGTGAAAGTCACTAAGTCCACTAAGCCTGTAAGTCCTTACAGGAGAGTGAGCTGATATTGGATAATTGGGTATCAGGGGTGATAGGAAGGTCAGAGGCATCTATGACCATGTTGAGCAGCCAGATAAGTAGCAGTTTCAGGAAATAAGCCAAGATAGAGTGGTGAAAGCCCACTATTATGGGTGAACACATAGTAGTTTGGGCTTAAGTCGCCATGCCATTCTCTAGGTCCCCTTTGCAAGGTCGGGCCT